GTGGTGAGAGAGTTTGAAGAAAGCGCTGCTAAGCTGGGACACCAGTCGATGATTAGTGCAGAAGCCCAAAGGTACTGCGAGGAATTAGGTCTAAAGTTAGAATTGGTTCATTCAGAACCCATGGTGTGTAAAGATGATACAGAGAAGATGAATGTTAAAAAGGCAAAGGGACTATTAAAGTCAATGTTTGAAGAAAACTGCTAAAGACGGTACGTGATGAAAGCATGGCAAGGGAAATTACACACAATAATATGGGGTGATGACACCCCCAATACTAAGAACTGCTTTGCATGGCTAAAAGAGTGGACGACATGTCCAACTTATGTGGTGGCTGGAATGTACGAGCTTTTTGAACAGCTTCTACCTACAAAGCTTCTACATATCAAGTGAAGAAGATTTAAAAAATCTCAGTCAAGCAACGTGACCTGTCGCATGTGTAATAAGAAACCAGAGAGTGTTGCTCATGTGTTAGCGGGATGTTCAGCTCTTGCACAGAACAAGTACGCAACAAGACACAATGATGCGCTGAAAGCTTTATACTTTGAGCTGTTACGAGAACTACAGCTGAGCGACAGTGTCACAAAAACAAGGAAGGGGTGATTCTGGAGATGAGCTGCCCATGGGTGGAGAATAGAGAAAAGAAAGATGAAGAGAAGACGTCGAAGTACGGTCCGCTGCGTTGGGAATTGCAAGATCAATATCCTGGACACAAAGTACGTCAGTATAATCTCATTATGGATGTGTTGGGAGGATGGTCAAGGAGTATGGAGGATGATCTGCGAAGGTTTTGGGAAAAAAGACCAAAGATGTGCTACGGAATATGCAGAAAGCAGATTTATAATATTTTAAAAGTATTTCTTATGTTCCGCTACGCGTCGTGCTTCTCCTAACACTTCTCTCGTGTTCTGCCAACCCCCGCGTGCTTTATGACAACACACAGCACGCGCACGCGTGTTCTATTTCTTCATAATCAAACGTGGGAGGAACTTCRCCCCAGTCCTCCTCTCGCGGTTTTGGCCGCGACAAATATGATAAATAATCATTCCTTTTTTTACCGATATCTTTTTTAGTGAAATACATATTTCTATAATATAAGGACCACAGTACCTACAAAAGCAGTTAAAATAGATTAAAATTAATACTTAATAAAATTTTAAGCAAATATTAAATTATTGAAGGATTTAGATCGATCTAATCATTTTTTATTTACAGCTTCTAATTCGAATAGATTCATTTAACTTTCCTAAGTCTACCTTTAATATAAAGGAGCATTTCAACTGTACTTCTTCTAACATCATCTATTGCATTCAATGCTCCTATTGTAATATGCTGTATGTTGGAGAAACTGGACGAAGATTAGGTGATCGTTTCAGAGACCACCTTTACGATATTCGTAAGAAAGATCTCTCTAAACCAGTTTCTCGACATTTTAATTCTACTAACCACTCGGAAACTAATGCCATTGTTTTTGGTCTTTGTCTAACACACGGTAGTAATGAATCACGCAAAACAAAAGAAATGCGCTTGATTCATTCGCTTGGMACAGTTAATCCGCACGGGATGAACGAACGCTTCACCTTTAATTAGCCACTTCTCACCTACCATTGTTATTCTCGATCCTTTTGTTTTCTTTTGTTTAACGATTTGCTGTTTTCTTTATTGGTTTGTTTTCTCTCTACACCACTATATAAACCTCTTCATTATTCTCTTTCTCTCATTGACTCCGACGAAGGACTAACGTCCRAAACGTCAGTTACTCTTGTTCTTATTACGGTGAAAAGATTATCTACCACGACACCTTGATATTCACTGGTGGGTTGCTCTGCCGCTGGGAGTGCTTTTCTGATGTGACATATGTTGCGTCGAAGCTCACTTCCGGTTGATGATGCACTAAGTATGAGCGTGGTGCTTCAAGCTTTTCCTTGACGACTGCAGGCTCCCACTTCTTGRTCGAGGGATTCTGAATGGTGATGTTGGTACCTCTTGCTAGCTCGGGTAGAGGTCTGACATTACGRTCGTGGTAGAACCTTTGGATTTCTTGTTTCTCCCTTAGCCGGTCGGTGATTTGATCACTGTTGGCACTCCTGTTGATGGTGCGGGGTAGGTTATCTTGTAGCTTTCTTCCGAAAAGTAACTCAGACGGCGATGGGAGTTTATTGTCAATGGGTGTGGTGCGTAGACAAAGCAGTGCCATACTGGGATCCTGTCGTTTCTCGAGKGTCTTCATGAGAACACCTTTGACTGTTTTTACTTGATTTTCTATGAATCCATTTCCTTGTGGGTAGTGTGGAGAACTGGTTACGTGGTGGAAACCATATTCGTTGGCACATTCTTGGAATGCTACACTGTCGTACTGAGGGCCGTTATCTGAGCGGACTATTTTTGGGATTCCCTGCTCGCTGAAGATTTGCTTCATTGCATAAATGACAGTTCTGCTATCACTCTGCCCTTTTGGTATCTTCCTGACGAATGGGTATTTGGAGTAAAAGTCAGAGATCAGAAGGTATTCAGAGTCGTGTAAGTGGAACAGATCAGTTCCTATGGTGTGGCACGGCCGAGGAGGTATCTCAGTTGGCAGCAACGGCTGTCTGGCATTAGATGCCTGATGTTGTTGGCAAATGGAGCATGATTGGGTAATCTTATCAATATCGTTGTTAAGGTTCTTCCAGTACACAGAARTTCTGGCTCTGAGCTTTGTCTTTTCAGCTCCTTGGTGTGCTGCGTGAAGCTTTTGTAGAATGTCATTTTGAAGCGTTACGGGAATGATGATTCTTTGACCTTTTGTTAGTATTCCGTCATGTATTCCTAAATCGTCTCTGAATGACCAGTATGGCTTTAGGCTTTTTGAGACTTCTTTGATGGTTGATGGCCAGCCTTCGTAGATGACTTGCTTGAGGGTGGCTAATTCTTGGTCTGCGCTGGTATTTTCACGAATCTTCTCAATCATGGTCTTGATAAATTGAGGGTACACCTCATGTACTTGGACTTCCATGTTTCCAATGGGATGGTGATCTTCTGGTGATAGACGTGAGAGTGCATCTGCTATCAACATGTCTTTGCCGGGTATGTACTTGATTTTCAGGTCGTATGGCTGCAATCTTAGTAGCATTCTCTGTAATCTGGGTGGTGCAGATATCAGATGCTTGAGATGAATACTTTCTAGAGGTTTGTGGTCGGTAAGCACTGTGAATGGTCGTCCGAATATAAGTATGAAATCTCACACAACCGTATACTACTGCTAGAAGTTCCCTTTTGATGTTAGCGTATCTTGGTCAGTTTCAGTTAGCGACTTGTTTGCAAAAGCGACTGGTTTGCCATCTTGGAGTAAGGATGCCCCAAGACCCTTTGGTCAAGGCATCAACTTGTAGGGTTACTTCCTTTCTATCGTCGAAATATGTTAGGGTGGTTGTATCAATGATTGACTTCTATATTTGCTCATATGCTGCTTGGTAGTTGGCGTTCCAATTGAAGACTTGGTTATCTTTGAGTAGACCTCTTAAAGGTGCTGTAAGTGTGCTTAAGTTGGGTATGAAAGAAGTCATGTAGGATGTTAGTACTAGGAAGGTCTCCCTACTCTCGGCGGTCACCTGGCTGTTTCATCTGCTTCAGGGCGGACACCTTTGCAGGGTCGGGCTGTATTCCAGCTTCGCTACAGATGATGCCATAGAATTTGATCTTATCTTGCTTTATGTGACACTTGTTTGGATTGAGCTTTAACCCAGTCTTCTCACATCTTTGGATCATGCTGTGCAGGTTTTGGTCGTGTTCTTCTTCTGTTTGGCCATAGACAACTATGTCGTCAACTATTCCAATGACTCCTTTACAGCCTTCGAAGGTCTGGTCGATTTTGGATTGGAATACGTCTTGTGACATACGGAGGCCGAATGGCATTCTCAGAAACCGGTATCTGCCAAACGGGGAGTTGAAAGTTGTGAGGTAACTTGATTCTTTTTCGAGGACGACATTCCAGTATCCGCTTTTGGCATCTAGAATTGAAAAATGCTTGGCTCCGCTGAGTTCTAGCTATGACACTGTCATGTCAAATTTAAGCACCCAAGGCAAGCTAGCCATGTCCTGGTATAGAGACAATTTTCTTATAGCCAATTCAGATAAGTTTCAATGTCTTAGTATCAATCCTAGAAATATAGATAGGGAAAATCAGGACACTGTTCTGCACGTAGGAGATGAAGCCATTACTAGTACTCCATCTATTAAGCTATTAGGGGTTGAAATTCATGGAAATTTTGATTTTACTAGTAATATTAGCAATATATGTGCGAAGACTAGTACGAAAGTGGGGGTACTCATGAGATTGCGAAATTTAATACCTACTAAAGCTAAGCTTATAATTTATAAATCATCCATCCTGCCGAATCTGACTTATTACCATTTAGTTTGGCATTTTTGTAGAACATCTGACTCTAGAAAGATTGAGCGTATTCAAGAGAGAGCGCTTAGGGCTGTGTTTAAATCATTCTCAGAGCCATATGAAGCCATATAAGCCATATGGTGGGTGAATCACAGGGGCTATATTGGGGTTCAGCGTGATATGGTATTCGCCTTGGAATTTTCCGATGCCGTCGAAGCAGGTGGGGTATTTGGATAATAGCTGTGCTTTACTTTCTATCTTCTGGCTCGTAGCGTGGTTTGTTTGACTTTGGCCGTGTGGTTGCTTGGCATCATCCTGTGTTTCCACAGAACAGTTCAGTGTAATTAGCCTTAAATCTAGTGCTGTTGGTAGGCCTATGATTGCACGGCCTGGCGCGTTGGTGATGTAGATTGTGTTTCCGCAGTTTCCACATTTTTCTCATGTTTCCAGTTCCGGATTTTCCTATTGCGTGCACGCTTTGGTTGTATTTATATTTCTTTATATATATATAAATATATATACACGAAATCTTAAAAATTCTGATATTTATCGGATACATATATACTTATATATATGTCCCCAATTTTCTTTTGTCTTGCCTGAATAGTAGTACATACGGTTGAGCGTTACACTACAACAATGACCGACTAAATTAATGTTCATCAGTCCGTGCGCCCCAGAAGAAGGAAACGGTTATTTCATCGTGGAATGGGGTTGCCTTTGTTCAAGATCACAATACGTAAACCAGTTACATAACCTTATTTGTTCTACTCTCATGGGGGAATTAATGAAGTCGGCTCTTGAAACTTCAATGATTTTGTATTGTCTAACTGCTCTATCTACTGTAGAAAGAGAGATTCTCAAGGTTGTCGCAATTGATCGTGAAGTTTTGTTGTAGCCAAATTTATAAAAACGATGCACCATCTTAAATCTTTGCTGTAGACAATAATTGATTGAAGTAAAAACTTCCGATGTAACGACAGATCGATCAAACGAATGTTGCTTTTTTAAGAGAGCATGATTACGAAGCTAAAATGCAATTCAAATCTTCAGTAGCTGACAGTGCGAAGGTTATGCAACTGTACTGTTCTATTTACTGATCTTGAACAAAGACAATTCCATATAATAATTATTCCCTTCTTCTGGGGCGCATGGACTTATGTGAGCATATTTAATCCGTCATTGTTGTAGTGTAACGCTCAACTGTAAATACTAATCCAGGCAAGACAAAAGAAAAATGGGGACATATATATAWGTATATATATCCGATAAATGTCAGAATTTTTGAGATTTGGTATATATATATATGTATATATATATATATTTACATATATAGCCTTTTGCAAAAATTATGGCCGCTTCCAATATATATACAAGTATATCAAAAATATATCAGAAATTATGGGATATCATCCCTGATATTTTTTCCGAGTTGTCTATTGCTAGGGCTTTCTGAAATAAATATCAAGAAAGATATCCCGTCGTGTCCGATATACTTTTGATATATTTGTGTCTATAGTTGAAACGGCCATAACTTTTGCAAATGGCTGTATGAATGTAAGTGGAGACGTACTAAAGATCCTGTTGGTGATGAAAGTGAATTGTCTGAATCCCACTCAGTAGCTGTCAAGTCTGTTGATGCTATCATACGATCGTCACCATCTAAGTCTTGTTGTCTGGACCCTATACCAACATGTTTCTTGAAAGAACATCTGCAGTTACTACTCCAATCCATTGTCAATATCGGGAACATGTCTCTTAGCTCCACATTTCCATCATCGTTCATGAAATCAATTAAAGTACCTCTTCTAAATAAACCGTCACTCGATGCTGAAGTCCTAAAGCATTGCCGTCCTGTCTCCAACCTGATTTTTATTTCAAAGATTATTGAAAAGGCTGTTGTCCTTCAGTTGAATGAATACCTTACAACACATGATCTATTCGAAACCCAGATCAGCTTACAAATGTTTACATAGTACTGAGACTGCACTCTTAAACGTTCACAACGATATTCTTATTGCCTTGGGCAACAAACAAGCTGTTGTCCTCCTGCTTCTTGATTTATCTTCCGCTTTTGATACTGTCAGTCATGCAACGCTGCTCATGTTACTTAAGTCACGCTATGGAATCACTTTGATGTTTCCTTTGGTGTCCCACAAGGCTCAGTGCTTGAACCGATTCTTTTCTCGTTATATATTGCTCCTATGACTGACATAATTCGACAACATGGCTTGCAGTACCATCTTTACGCGGATGATACTCAAATGTATCTGACTTTCAACCCTAATTATGAAGTACCATATACTGTGATATCAACTATTGAATCCTTTGTAGCAGATATTCGAGCATGGATTTTTTCAAACTACCTGAAGCTAAATGATGATAAATCTGAGCTGTTAGTCTTTCACTCCCAGCATGTACAGCGTCCTGACATCCCAGCCATCAGCACTGGAGAGGAGTCAATTAACCCTGTGGAATCATGTCGTAATATTGGCGTGATTTATGATGAAACACTATCATTTGACAAGCACATTAGTTCTATCACTAAAACTGCTTTCTGGCATCTCAGGAATATATGGCGTATCTGCCGCTACCTTGACACTGTTTCACTGTTAACATTGGTTCATGCATTCATTACTATAGTAAATATGATTACTGTAACGCACTTCTCATTGGCCTCCCAAAGTACATAGTAAAACGTCTTCAGAGTGTGCAAAATGCAGCGGCGCGATTAGTATCTGGCTCCAGGAAATATGAATACATATCACCGGTTCTACGTCAACTACACTGGCTTCCTGTTGATAAACGCATTTCTTATAAAATTCTACTCATGGTTTTCAAGTGCCTTCACAACCTTGCACCATCATATCTTGCGGACCTTATCACGAAGCACGTACCTACTAGGGCATTAAGATCTAGCTCTAAGAATTTGTTTGTTGTCCCTCGATCACGCACCAAAGGGTATGGCAATAGGGCATTCTCTGTATGTTGTCCTATGTTATGGAATAATCTGCCTGAATTATTGCGACATGAAACTAATTTGGAATGTTTTAAAAAGAACATAAAGACATTTATTTTAAACCTTATAGTTTGAACTCTCAGTTTGTTTTATCTTTATTAGATGTATATTATAAGTCACATTTATACTTTTATCATTTATAATGCATTGTATTTAAGCGCTATTGTACTTTGGCGCTATATAAATGATTTATTATTATTATTATCATTATTATCATTTTTATTATTATATATTAATTGAATGAAAGAACAAAGTATAGCTAAAAGGTTCCAAAAGTATCGGGACCGTAAGCATGTTAAACTGCGATATACGAATTCACTGTAAAATGTTCATAAAACAAACTAATAACGACTTTCCCTAGTCTCCTTCGCTGCCGTCATTAGTTTCGGTCCCAGAMCCTCACGGGCACTCTCCATCGCGTGGATCTGGGACCGAAGCTAATGACGGCTGCGAAGGTAACTAGACTTTCTCCAATTGTGTTAATTAAGAAAATACTAGCTTCACCTCCTACCTCAACTCGTCTTAAACTTTCTTCTAAGGCTTCATTCTTTTGAGTAAGTATCGTGTTTTGTTTGGTAAGGAATGAATTCTGTTGTGTGAGCGATGAACATTGTTTGGCCAGTAACATCATGTGTGCAGCCATGTTATCTTGTACGTGTTTATCGACATGTTGTCGTTCAACTTGGGCTAAACATCCATTTTCCTTGAAGGGACATTCTAGTATTGTCTTCGCACAGATGTTTTTTAGATGGTGGTCTAAATCAACTCTGA